AAGTTCTTTGACACTCCTCCCCTCAAGAAGTGGAGCCTCCTTCCTCTCCCCTCGAGTGTGGGCCGGATATTGCACTTGCTTCTAACAAGTAGAACGTGGTGGAGGTTATCTTAGTGAGTGTGTGTGTGTGTGTGTGTGTGTGTGTGTGTGTGTGTGTGTGTGTGTTCACCTGAGACTAGGTGGTAAGGGCATTGTGGCTTGCTCCTTGTTCTCTCTCTTAGATGACTCTCTCTGGGGGAAGCCAGCTACCGTGTGTGGACACTCAGGCCTCCTGCCATGTGAGCGCACCATCTTGGAAGCCAATCCTCCAGCTCCCGTTCAACCTTCAGATGACCTTCGGATGACCACAGCCCTGACTTGCATGTTGACTGCAGCCTCGTGAGAGACCCACACCTGGTTATGCTGCTTCTGAATTCCTGCCCCCCAGAAACTGTGAGATGGTATCACATTTGTTGTTTTAAGTCACTGAAGTTTTGGAGTAATTTACTGTGTAGCAGTCAATATCTAATATACCACCCCACCCCACCCCTGCCCCCAGCTTACTCCCAGACCCAGATTGTAGCAGGTGGGGTGAAATCTGGATTAGGGGAGGAGCAGTAAGACCCACCTGACACTCTCACCACCATTTCCTCAGGAGGGGAGCGACAGGGTAAAAGAAGAGGTCGTTTGAATCTAGGGGTCCCAGTTCTCCAGCCTCAAAAGACACTTTGGCACTCCCCCCACCTCAGCCCTCTTCCCCAGTTCACCCGCATCCCCCAGTGGAGACCAATTTTTCTGTTCCCCACTCACCAAGTATCCCCTGGCAGATGTCTGTCGGAGAGACACCATCCACAATGAAGTGAGGATTGCTTGTGATTTCCTGCAGTGAAGGAATCCAGGTTTCAGGGAGCCCAGGACACCCCCCCTCCCAACCTCCCTCCCATCTTTCTTGGAAAATGATGCCCATTTCAAAGTCCTAGGGGAAAACATGAATGTGGGGAAGGGAGAGGGTACGGTACCAGCTTGGCACAGATGTAAGTTGTGATAGCAAAGGTTAGTGAATGACTTCCCAAGGGGTTATCTGAGAGGTTTTGCTTAAGCATGTCCAGAGCTGTCCCTAGCTCTGATGGAGGTGGAGCCTAGTGCCAGGGCCAGGATAGGGCTGTGGGGGACTGGAACTTATCAAAGTGACTGGGGCATTGCTACAATCTGCCCCTCCCCCACCCATGAGTCCATGCCTCCCCTCCCAGTGCCCACAATGGGACGCTGCCAGCAGATGTTCTGCACATTTTTGGAGTCAGGTCCCAGTTCCTTGAAGCCCAATGAAGTGGGTTCGGGAGGGAATATGGGGTCCTGGAACAGTTCCCCCTTCCTCAGACAGAGTGCTTGCAGCTCCTCAAAGCTCTGGTCACTGTAGTTCTGGGCATTGTGGTGTTGGCCCAGGCCGCTGGCCTTGAGTCGGTTCTGGCTTATGTGAGCCGCCATTCCCTTATCGGTGAACATGGTCTCCACTTAATAATAAAAAGAGAAATAACCGTGTTAAAAAATGGATCCGAATAGATATTTTTTCCTGGAGAAGAGATACAAATGACCAATACTCACATGAAAAAAAAATGCTCAACATCTTTAAGTCACCAGATGAATGCAAATCAAGAGCATAATCATATACCACTTAACACCCACTAGACCTACTAGGATGGCTATAATCAAAGACTGATAATAACAAGTGTGGGTGAGGATGTGGAGAAATCGGAACCCTCATACACTGCTGGTGGGAAGGTAAAAGGGTGCAGCCACTGTGGAAAATAGTCTGGTAGTTCCTCAAACAGTTAAACACAGAATTATCATATGATCCAGCAATTCCACCCCTAGGTATACACTCAAGAGAAATGAAAACATATGTCCATTCAAAACCTCACACACAGATGTCCAAAGCAGCATTATTTACAATAGCCAAGAGGTGAGAAAAAAAAACCCCAAATTCTATCAGCTGTTGAATGAGGAATATACCTACGATGGAATATTTTTCAACAATAAAAATAAATGAAGTGCTGACACATGCTACAACATGGATGAATCTTGAAAACATGATGCTACGTGAAGAAAGCAATCACAAAAGACCATGTAGTGTATGATTCCAATGATATAAAATGCCCCAAACAGGCTACTTACTCTATGTAGAGACAGAGAGTAGATTGGAAGTTGATGGCTAATGGAGATGGGGTTCCTTTTGGGGAAAAATCAAAATGTTCTAAAATTAATTGTGGTGATGGTGACATAACTGTGAATGTATGAAAAGCCATTGAATTGTACACTTTAAATGAGCATGTGAATCATATCTCAATAAAACTGTTAAAAAAATAACCTCCAGATCATGCAAAGGACACTTCTTTATGGGGAGAGTGGAAATAATGGAGTGTATAGGGCAGCAGGGCAGAGGGGAATGGGCTTCTCACAGGGAGACTCCAGTTAGGGAATCCCCTGATGGGGTGGGAGGCTGAACCTCTGAGAGGAATAGTCGGGGACCCAAGATGCCCTGCCCACACCTCCACCTCGGCGGGACTGCAATCTGCTTACATCCTTTCCCGAGTACAGGCCCCCACCCACAACATGTGGGACTGACCCCTCTGTCACCAGGATTGAACCCAGGGGAAGAGCATGAAGGAGGAAAAAGAGGAAGTGAGACCACAGAGCTGAGATCAACTCTGAATCTCCAGTCCTACCCTGTATGTACTGGGCCTGTCCTCCCTCAGCCTCCCCTCATTCTCAGCTGACTCTGGAATAAGGAGGAGCTTAAGGGGAAGAGAAGAAGGATATGGTCTAAATTTTAAAGGCTGGGGTGTGGGAAGAATCAGAGTGAGGAAAAGAAAGGGGCAGCTATAGAGACAGACAAGAGGGTTCTGGGCTGTCCAGAGGTGAGACCCGGACAGAGCCCACAGAGGGCTCGGTTCCTCAGAGGCAAGACAAGGGAGTCTTGTTATTCTTCCTCCAGCTGGCAGACTAAGAAGAGTTACGACTGCAGAGCTAACTGTCCTGAGCACCTGCTCTGTACCTGGCACACCAGCCCTGAGATGGGACCATGCAATACCCCAACATATCTGAACAGGAAGCAGAGGCCCAGAGGTCAAGTAGCTTACCCGAGGTCACAGAGTGCCAGCTGGGCCTGGGACTAAATCTGATCGTAAACCCTAGACAAGGCTCATGATCTTCACCCTTATACTGGCTCCTGAGAGCTGCGCCTCTCTCTCCTCAGAAAAAGGAAGGCTTGTGAAGCCAGTGCCATCCTCCCCAAGTAAGGGGGTCACAGGCTGAACTAATAATCCGATACCCGCTTACTCTTCCCGCTGCCCCAGCCACGCAAACTCATTCTCTCTTCCAGCATCAGTGTCTCCCTGGGACCCCAAAGGTCCAGTAATGACCTCTGTTATCTCCTCCTGTTAGCCTGACAGAGCCAAACCAGGCTGCCCAGCACTTTCACATGTAGGCTGCCCTTCGTTCCTCAGCTACAGCAAACCGTTGCTGCCTCTGTGCGTCTGCCTGGAGTCATTACCGATTGCATGCACACACTGTGTCCACTGGGAAAAGTCCTACTTGGCCTTCCAGTTCCCGCTCAGTGCCACCTCCTCCATGAGGCCTCCCCAACACGATCCCATTTTTGAATGAGTGTTCAAAACTTTTCCTTTGTTATGACACCCATCGCTGCCTGCCTGCTCTGAGTTGACCTGCTTGTGAGCTCTCAAGAGTGGAGGGGGCCCCCAGTCCACCACTGGGTTCCCTCTGTCTCATAGGGTGCCTGGCCAAGCAGAGGCTCAGGAAGGCTTACAGTGGATGGGTGGATGAATGAATGAACGAATGCCTTGCCTTGCACTAGTAACTTTTTACCTATATTTACAAATCTATGTTTTCTCTCTCCTGCTCTGCCCTTCCCAACTCCCTGCGCCCACTCTAGTCCCCGATGTACTATATATTTTATTATTTTCCTCCCTCACTAGATTGAAAACTCAAGAGAACAGGGAGTTTTGTCTGTTTTGTTTGCTGCTGTATTGAGCACATAGTAGGTGCTCAATAAATGTTTTGAATTCTGTTCCCTGTCCCCTGGCAGCTTCCATTATGGAGACCCCCCCACCTCCCCAAAGCATGTGCCCAATAAAAATGGTGGGACCTGTAGACGCCAACCCAGCTTTTCCGATACGTTTTGCCAGCTAAGCCCAGGAAAGCCAGAGCATTGGTGTGGGCATTGAACAGTGGTCCTGATCACAGCATAAGGGTCTCTCTGGGGTCCCCTTGGGGCCCCTGGGACCTGGAGGCTCCCGGCCCCACTAAGGAAAGTTCATTGGCATAAGGATTAAGGTGAGTTTGCTGAAGAAAGACTTGGGATCCTGCCCTTTGCTTCTTCCACAGAGCCTGTGGCTTGTAATGACAGGATATTAGGAATACTCCCTTCATTAGTAAAGCAACTAGCACTTACATAACATTTATTAAAAGAATAGTTAACGTTGTTTGAGGAGTCAGAACATGCATGGCATAGTTCTAAACACTTTGCTCGTTAAATCCTCACCACACCCTATTGGTTAGGTTTATTATTATTGTCTCTCTGCTACAGAGGGAGAAACTAAGGCACAGAGAGGTTGAAGTTCCTTGAGGTTGCACACCTGGCAGGCAGCAGAGGCAGGGTAACACTTAGACAGGCTGGTCCATGCTGTCATCCATCATATCGCTGCCTTACTGGGAGGGAGACTTGATGGAGGGGCACAGGCTGTATTGGAGAGAAACATAAGTGGTCCATCCCTTCCTCCATTTCACTCCAGCCTCTAGGTGGTCTTTGTTAAACCACTTACCCTCAGTTGAGAGGGGCAACTGAGGATGGATAAGGTATTGGAAAAGGGTTTGGGGAGGCAGCTGATTCATCTTTAGCAGAGCTAGTGCCCCGGGCTGCACAGAGCTAGAGTGAGTAGCCGTGTGACCCTGGGCAAGCTGATCTATGTCTCTGAGCCTTGGTTTTCTCATCTGTATAAGGAGGCTGCTGTATCCTACCTTGAAGGGTGTTTCAGGATTAAATGATACAACTTATGTGAAAAAGACTGGCATTCAGTACATGCTCAGAACATGTTAGTTGCCTTCTCCCCACTGACCTGGCAGGATGACTAACATTTATTGAACTCCTACTAGGATTACACGGCCCCCTGCTCACCCCTCTTTCGTAGGACTTAATGATGATAAAGAAAGCAGCAAAACACATTCGGCCTATCTGTGTGCTTGTGTGTCTCTGCCACTAGGTTTGAGCTCTTTGGAGCCAACCCAAAGCTCTCTCAGCCACCCTTTGGGAGCGTTTATTCTGTGCTGGGCACTGAGGAGTCAGAAGTGAACACTCCCCCATGTAGAGCTCTGAGGACCATCCCCAAGCTGTTCCTCTTCAGGGTCATCTCCATGGGCCACAGAGACAGGGAGAAAGTGCCAGGAAAGGAGGCCACCTAGGCTGGGGATAATCAGGGAGGTTCTGGGGGAAGTGACTGCCTCCTTTTCCCTGCCCTAAGCTCACTCCACTCCCCTGAGGGTGGGGGGCACCATGAGTTCCTGGTTCTGGAAGAATCAGGGCTGGGGGGCAGGGAAGAGGGTGGGTGAAGTCAGAACCTGGGAGTTCTTACCTGCTCCTTTTCCTTCTACCCTCTCTCTTCCAACCCAAGCCCTCTGGGCTTCTCTTAGAAATGATTGCGGAAGCTCCTTCCCACTCGGTCAGAGCAGGGGAAAAGGAATAAAGGGGTGTGTCCGTGGAATGTGTGTGTGTGTGTGTGTGTGTGTGTGTGTGTGTATGTTTATGTGTGTGTTTGTGTGTATAAGTATGTGTTCATGTATATGTATATATGTGTTTGCATGTATGTGTTTATGTACGTGTTTGTATGTATAAGTATATATGTATCTGTGTGTATGTGTGTTTCTGTATGTGTTTTTATATATCTGTATAAGTGCGTGTGCATGAGTATATGTGTGTATGGGTGTGTGCGTTTGTATACATGTTTATGTGTTTGTATATATGTGCATATGTGTATTTGTGTATTTGTGTGTATGTGTATAGGT